TAAGTAAACTGCAGAAGGTATGAATGGGTTAGAAAAGACCCCTAACAGAAGTCTCCTCATTAGCTCAGATGGGCAGGACACTTTGCTATTAAGGTGTAACTGTGATCAAGGGAGTAGGTACAATTTTTGCCCAGGAGATGAAAAATAATTCAAAGACATCCTGAAATGGTAAGACTTTGACATTTTATTAAGAAACATCTTTATTTTAAATGATAGTATAAAAATTGTATATATATCTATATAGTTACATACACACAATACTCACACATACATATACACACACATAACTTGCTCATCAGAATCAAATCTTCTTTCATTAAAATTCTAAATACAAAAAGAGAATTTATATTTAAGCTTTCCTAAATGTATATATGTACATAAAGCTGTAAAGCAACCTGAAAAACTGAGTGCATTTTGAGACGCATCTAGGCACCCTCTCCCACTCCCCTCAAACCCCCCTGGCCATACACAAATGGCCTTGGCAGAAGGCAGGAGGAGAGTACACAGGGCAAAGCCAGGGAAGGGAGTTGCTACTATTACTGTTGATAAAGCAATATGCCTGAAACCAACTGGGAAACATAGCATAGAGGGTGTGACCTAGATTAATTCTCAGAAAAAAAAGCACCTCAGAACAAACAGAAAATATGTGGTGGGAAAAGAAGGGAGTGGAGAGAGCAAAGACAAACCCCACAGATTAGAAATGACCTACTAATTAAGTTCTAGTACCTGGGAAAGACTCAATAAGCTAAGAACAATGGGGTCACAGAAGCAGACAGTTGTTGGGGGAGACAGAGATAGGGAATCACAATTTCCTGTCATTAATAAGCCAGACTGCTACCATAGAGTCTAGGGATGTCATCCCACCCGCTAATCCTAATAAGGCTCAGCAAAAAGGCACCACCAGAAGCACAAAGTTACTGGATTCTAATTCACATCGTTCTAGCTAGCTCCTGGTCTCTTGTTAACTAAATTGGCATAGGAAAGAGTGCTAACTCAGAAGGGGGGGGGGAATTCATCATATAAACTAGAAACAGGTAAGAACCTAGAGCAGCATATAGGTGGTCTTGACATGTATTCCATTAAAAGCTCCTTTTTTAGCAGTACAAAGATGAGTCTGTCTACAGGAGTAACAAACAGAAGGCCATTTTCCAAACAAGTATGACAAAAAAAAAAAAAAGTTTCACATTCAATATTAAACTCCTGGGAAAGTTCACTATATGCCCCAAATCTTCTAGCTCTGGAGGCTCATAATGTTTTCAGGAGAGAGATACACATGCTTTCTCTCAAAAATGATGAGATTTCTAAACTGGGAAAGTAGATGTATAGAGTGTTTGCTCCTTCTGCCATGGCCCTTTACCTGGGGTTCCCTTCCTGTTCAGAGATGTAAGAGATTTATAAGTGCCAGTCAAAACAGCTACCATAGGAGTGGAAAGGAAGCCTGCTCTATGGAAGGGCAGTTCCATCCCTGCCTCTGACTCTACTCTGAATCTTCCAGCTTACATAGTGTCATCACATTATATGCTAAACAAATCCCTTTAAAGCCAGGCACTGGCTCTCCCTGGGGCCTCACTCATGTTTCTCATTACTGCCTGTTAGAGCACTTTCCAGCAGACACATCTTTCAGAAAGGGCCAAAGCAACGCTTTATCTTCCTCAGTCCCCATATTGTGCACATTTCCAGCAATCCTAAGAAACCTCTATGTGTTTAATGAAATAAAAATACTTCTAGGTCTTACCAGGTACTTTAGAGCTGAATCTCACATAAGCAAAGAGAAAAGTGGGAAAATCCATTATGTACACACTAACATACCCTCTGGTAGCATAGTGGCTAAGACACTTGCCTGCTAACCAGACGGCTGGCGGTTCAAACCCACCAGCCACTCCTCGGAAGGAAGGTTGGGCAATCCTACTTCTGTAGTGATACTGCCTCGGAAACCCAAGGAGGGGTCGCTATGAGTCAGGGCTGACTTGACGGCACATAACAACAACAACAACAACAACATACCCTCAGCAAAGGGTTATTAAAAAATGCCCTGGCCACACAATACCTACTTCATCTGGAGAGCCCTCTATAAATTTTATTTTTCTTTTTAAAGTAATTCATTTTATATCAATAGAAAAAGAGAAATCAGTTCATATGCTATCGATTTTTAACATTACTGAGCAGACACAAAAAATTTAATAAAATAATGGTAACGCTGAAGAAGAGGTAAAGGCAAAAACAAAAATAAATACAGATCTGACGGGGGAAAAAAGATCTTTTAAGGCACTGGGTTAAAGAATATAAAAAACCTAAAGTGAAGTTCTCCCATACTTTTAATTAAGAGACCCTAATTCTGGCAAGGCAATTAAGAGATCCCACAGAGGTAGTGATAGGAAGGGAATGCAGGTTTATAATGAATTTCCCTGGAGCTAGGAACAAGAAATTAAGATTTACTTTTTCCTCTTTTTTGTGGGGAAGGTTTAAGACCAGAATGCAAATGTAGAGTCTAAAATTCCTGACATTAATACTGATATTGCTAGAGCAGCTTTATTTTAAGTAGGCAACAATTCTAGACTCCAAGTTTCTTCTGCTCAAGTACCAACTCTGAAACACTTGCCTGGGGAATGAGAACTATTATCTGATCCTCTGTAATCTAAGCTGCCAATAAGTCAGTTGGAATCCTCTGAACCAGATGATCTAAGCAAGATATTCCCAACTTCCATGGCTAATCCAGAAAGATAAGCAAAATCCTGAAATGATACTGCCATTAATGTACATAATATTTAACTTCTAACTACTTCAAGGTATCCCGGCCTACCATTCTCTCTATGGCAGTACAAATGGAGATCAAATTCTCTTCTCCTTGTCTGCGATGCTAAAAGGTCTATTCCAAGTATATAAAAAATGAGCATCTTTTTGCTGTCTACCCCTTTCCAGACATTCCCTTCTCTTCCTTCCTACCCTAGCCTATCCTATAACAAATTATTCTATCTAAAAGACCCCATCATCAAAAATGACTTGGACTGTACTAGGGAATTTTGGGGGTGGGAATGATAGCCTCTTAGAGGAACAGAATAAGAACTACAGAGTTCCCCAAAAAAAGAGGGAACTCTGCTGTATGCTCAGAAGGGAATACCCCTAATCATTAGTTAACCCAAAAGTGAGTAGTCAGGCCTGGTTATCTTCTGTAGAGTTATCCTCTACCCCATTACACACACATACACACACACGTATGTACATATATATGTATGAATATGTAACTTTTTTAAAAAGGAATTAAAGTCAACATATTAACTAATAACATAAAAAACATCTAAAATGATAATTGTTCCCTCTAGTTAAGCTAAGGCTCTGAAATGGTACACATAGCAGCTTATTGTTAGCACCGGGTTCCCAAAGGGAAGCAGAATAAAGAAAAACATCACAAATAAGAACAGAATAATCTGATAGTAGATACTGTAATTTTATCCTCACCCTCACCCACGCTCTTCTACTGTATTTTCCCCACCATCCACTAGCCCTGAGTAACTGCTGATCATCTGCAAAGTGCTCAGTACTCAGGTCTGTGGAGAAAACCTAGCTAAAGTGGCCAGTAGCCAAGACCAATTTCAAAACTTTTTTTTTGCCTATAAACCCCAATAGTCAATTCTGTTTGTTAAATTTGTTTTAGGGAGTTATGTTTTCAGTCTATTTTGAGCCCGAAATGATTCTGCACCTCTGGAAAACTGTAGCAAATTACTTTGCTAATCAAGGTAAATGGAGCCATGTTAACTGTCAAGATTTTTTCCAAATTAAAAATGCATGTTTTTTCCTCATGATCACTATTAAGAAAATCGTATTCTAAACAGTCATTCAAATGTTTACTTGGCACATCTCCCTCTGGTTTCAGTTTCTAATTTACAATAAAGCAAGCAAGCAAGTCTAGAATGATGAAGGCCCAATTTTAAAGGCAGTAACCTCTTTTGTTTTTTTAACCTCTTGTAATATAATGTCTTCCAACTTCCATCTCTCCATCCATATTCCTTTTCTTTTGTAAAAACTCCATGCTAAACACAAAAAACCCCCAGCAATGAAACATTTACCAAAAGTCTCTGGGCAAAGGAAGCAGGCATAGTGGGAGAGAAGGGAGAAAAGGAGACAAAGTACCTGGCCAGAATCTTTAGTTCCTTACTTTACAGCACTATGGTTCTTATTTCCTTTGTCAACACAGAGTCCAAGTACTAGGGCCCAAGCTAAAAAAACAGAGCAATGTACTTATCCCCAATCAAACAAACACAATATCCTCAGCATTTGTCGCCCTTTTTTTTTTTTTTGCATTTAAGGGGCTAACATCTGAGCTCCCCAGAATGGCACACATATCCTAGATGATAGTTACAAAATTCAGCAAAATTATATAAAATTAAAGAGTTTGAGCTTGATATTGTATAAAGAAATGTCTGAGAGCAAATTGTTCTGACAACAGACCACTCTCCTATTTGCAATTTTATGAAATGCAGCCAGAATGAAGTTTGTATCTCAGGACCAGATTGTTTCATAACCCCACAAGCCTCTTTTAGGCCACTTTCCAGGACTGTGCAGTCCAGCCTGGAAGGTTTTGGTTTTATATATACTTTTCCCACAAAAACAAGTTTTCTTTCCCTTCCATTTTGAAAAACTCTATTTTAGATTCTTAAACTGATATGTGAACTATGACACACAATGTATGTAAATCTGCCAGGCAATAGCACAAATTTCTTTTTAGTGAAATTAACTTACAATAGTTGGGAGATGCCTGCTCTTTGGCAGTGATTTTCCTTTTCTCTTCTCCAAAGCTGCTTCCAAACACACAGTATCTCCTCCCACCCCCGTGCCAATTAATTTTCTTCTATAACAGAAATACATCATAAAACCAAGGCAAATTTTCAGGTCACTAGACGGTACAATTATTAAAGACTCTGAGTGTGAATGAATTAAGAATATTATCTTAAAATCTTTTGATATAAAGTCAATTATTTATAAAAAACAATGAATGAATCCACAATATCCAGCATTTTTTCACCTCTATTCTTCAAGTAATAACGTGAATTGAGTAATTTGGTCCTTATTCTTTTGGGCCCTCAGAAAAAGTGTCCCTAAACTTGGCTTTGAATTTTCCAGTTGCATAGAGAGCTTTCCTGAGCCTAAGCATGATACCCTGCTATAGTTTTCTTCTTAAGGACATTCTTAATTTTCATACAATGTTTGCCCCTGTATTTTCTTTTTAAAAGTGAAAAAGATGGGCATAGTGCAAGTTGTGGCTCTTGCGTGTTAAGATGAAACTGTTTGTATGGAAACTCCGGTATGAGGCTCCATGGTCTCTGGTACCCCAATCATTTCTGTCCCTCTCCCTTCTACCTCCTCCTCTGTGACAACTACAGCATCTACCTCAGCCACCTCTTCAACCATGGTGATATCAACTCCATTGGGCTGTTGTCGGGCCATAGCCTCCAGCTTGAGGCGGTACTGTTCTGCCTCTTGCTCTTTCTTTAGGAGCTGGTGTCGGTATTCCTGAGCTCTTCGATTGGCTTCCTGGAGCTGTTGCTGTAGTAGGGCTCTTTCACTGCCTTCCTACAAAAGTAAACTATGTCACCACCAGGTAAGAATTCTTGATTATAGATTATCCAGAGAGCAGACAAAAAGAAGGGTTCAGGCCTAAAAGTTAGGCTTTCAATTCTTTCTCTTCTCTTCTCTCTACCACTGCGAAAAAAACGTTACCTTACTTTCCTCCACATTGTTTGTTATCTCTTCTATCCTTGGTTTCTTAGTCAGTGGCAATTTCTCTGTTTCTTTTTCTTCCTCTTCAATTATAGTCTCCTCTGCAACCTGACCAGCAGGTACAGTTAGAACTACAAGCCAAAGGACACCAATTAGAGATAATGAATACATAGTAAAACAAAAAGATTTTGTTTTCACTTAAAAAAAAAGAAATACGTTCTCTAATATCTTATAATTTTTCATATCTCGTTGGATTTTAGAATCAACAGGTAAAATATGGTGTTGCAGAGAGAAACATAAAGAATTAGAGAGGCACTAAAAAGGCTTCAGAAAGGAGGGGCACTGATTTGCGTGTTTGGAAGGTTAATTATCATATCTGAGGTTCTTATAAAAGATGTTTGACTGGGTCAGCAGCTATGACAAATTAGCTTATCTATTCTGTAGGAATAACTTGTCCAAAGAAAGTCTGAAGTCTTTACATGAGATTTTTAAGAAACCATTAATGAAAGCAGCTTGCCATAAACTGTACGTAATTGTTTCTCTCTTCAAGAGATGAATGAGACAAGGGTCAACACAACACTTGAACACAACACACACAAAATGTACCACACACCTTTCAAAATGGCTAAAATGAAAAATGGTAATAATGCCAAACACATATGGGGATTATGAAGAAACTGGATCATTCATACATTACTGGGAATGTAAAATGGTACAGTCACTCTAGAAAATAGTTTGGTAGTTTCTTATAAAACTAAACATGTGTTTACCATACAACCAAACAACTAACTACACTCTAGAGCCTTTATCCCAGAGAAATGAAAACCTATAGTTACATAAAAACTGATACACAACTCTTCACAGCAGCTTTATTAGTAATAACCAGAATCAGGATATAACTCAGGTGTCCTCCAAGGGTAAACGAACTTTGGTACATCCATACTTTGGAATAATACTCAGCTATGAAAAAGAATGAACTAGTAACATATACAACTTAATAGCTCTTAAGGGAAGTATGCTAAGTTAAAAAAAGGGAATCTCAAAAGATTACATACAGTATGGTTCCATTTATATAACATTCTTGAAATGACAAAAATATAGAAAGGGAGGGCAGATTAGACTAGTGGTTGCCAGGGGTTAGGAATGGGATTGGGGAGGAAGGTGGCTGTGGATAGAAAAGAATAGTACTTGGGATCCTTGTGCCTATTTTAAATCCTCACTCTGGTGGTATGCACACAAGTATACACATGTATTAAATTGCATGAACTAAGTACACACAAACACACACAAAAATAAGTACACGTAAAACTGAAAAAACTCAATAGGGCTGATGGATTTATCAATGTCAATTTCCTGGTTGTAATATACTATATACAAAATGTTAACACTGGAGGAAAATGGGTGAAGGGTATAGGGGATATTTCTGTGTCATGTCTCACAATTGTACATGAACGTACAGTTATCTGGAAATAAATAAAAATTTATATTTAGGTTTTAGGATGCATCATATTTTTAACAGAAAAATTTACCTAGTTATTTGATTCAGCTGATTTAAAAATTAGCTTGTAGTCCTTAAATGCTCATCAAATGATGACAGTGGAAAGTGGCATAGATATATGCTGAATGAAGATGGGAGTTTAGTCTGGGATTTAAAACTGTTGTAGAGAATTCATGAAATCTGTTTTCATTCTTTGGGCATGATTAAGCATATTTGTAAAAAGTAGTTCATTTAAGTAAAATCTCAAATTCTATTCTTTTTCTCCAAAGCAACTCAATTCTCCTTTATTTGTCTCCATTTTAAGCAAAGTCATTCATGTACCCAGGGAGTACCCCAAAACTTAAAATGATAATCATTCGCAAAAATATCAGCAGTGTATTTCCAAATAGGATGAATAAGAACTTGTGATACCAAAGTTTGGGTTATAAAGATTTAATTCCTATTCTCTTTTCCTATACTGCAGATATCCATCTCCTCAGATAATCTGAAAACTGTGAAACTGTCATAATCATTTAGGCCAAACCAAAACTTTGGCGACACAAAGAAAGACAATTATACCAATCATCTCTTTCTCAAACTCTAATATTTTTAAGGACTCAATTATCATAGATTGGTTTATTTTACTTTTTATAAAAATTTTTACTTTATTTTTTCTTCTAAGATACAGTTTATTTTTATAAATGTGATAAATCATCCCAATATTTATCTATTTTTTTGACTAATATACTCTTATTACTCTGGTGGTATAGTGCCTAAAGCATCTGACTGCTAACCAAAAGTCTGGCTGCTAACCAGCCACTCCTTGGAAGGAACGCTGGGCAATCTACTTCCATAGAGACACTGCCTTGGAAACCCAAGGAGGGGTCACTATGAGTCGGAATTGACTTGATGGCAGTGAGTTTTTTTTTTTTTTTAATATAGTCAAATTGTTCAAAAATCAAAAGCTATAGAAGTGTATTCAGTGAAAAACTTCCCATTTACCTTCCTGGGAGTAACCAGTGTCATCATTTTCTTGTACGTTCTTCGAGAGATAGTCCAAGTCTATGTAGCACATAATACACACTATCCTCATCTTGGTTTTATTACTTAACAACATATTTTGGCAGTTGGACAAAACTGGTATATAAGAATTTTCCTTGTTTTTTGTTCTTTTTACTGTATTGTTGCAGAGTATTCCATTGTATACGAGTCAGATCCGACTCATAGCAACCCCTCCTCCTTGGGTTTCTGAGGCAATATCATTACAGAAGTAGATTGCCCAACCTTCCTTCCGAGGAGTGGCTGGTGGGTTTGAACCACCAGTTTTCTGGTTAGCAGTCAAATGCTTAGGCACTATACCACCAGAGCTCCCATTCTATTGTATAGTGTACCATAATTTATCCATTCTCCTACTGACATATATACATAGGTTCTTTTTTATTTATAGCTATTAAAAATAACACTGTAATGAATAATTTAGTATATTATAATAAATAACTTGGTATATATGTAATTTCTCTGTGTGTGAGTATAAATTCCTAGGGGGTTGAAAAAAACTTTTAAGCTAAAGGGTATGTGCACTTTTAATAGTGATAGATATTGCCAATTTGCTCTTTAGAGGCTGCATTAATTTAGTCTTCCCAGTGACAGAGTGCCTATTTCCCACCACTGTTGACAACACATTTATAACATTATCTTACTGCAGTATTTGTTTGCATGTCTTTTGTTATGAATGAAGTAGGTTGAACACATTTTTATATTTTTAAGAGCCATAAGTATTTTCTTTTCTGAACACTACTGGTGCCTATAGGAGCTCTGGTAGCATAGTGCCTAAGGCACTTGACTGCTAACCAGAAGGCTAGTGGTTCAAACCCACCAGCCACTCCTTGGAAGGAAGGTTGGGCAATCCTACTTCTGTAATGATACCGCCTCGGAAACCCAAAGAGGGGGTTGCTATGAGTTGGGGCTGACTTGATGGCACATAACAACAACAACTGGTGCCTATAATTGGCTCTTTTTTCTACCAGATTACTGGTTTTCACTCTCAAATTTTATATATATTAGGGACTTAACCTTTGCAAGATGGGTTTCTTTCTTTCTCAGAGCTTCTTTGCCCCTTCTTGCACCTGACATCTTCCCACTCCCACTATCTGCCATAAGTATTTACACTTTAGGTAAGTGTTCAGTGTCTAAAATATTTAATAAAAAATTGTCTAAATGGGACAACTCACCTTGCTGCCCATCTTGCATAGTTACAATAAATGGCTGGCCAATGCCTCCAGTAGGGATTGAAGTTTGGAGATGACCCAGAGGGACTCCATCAGTCACTATGGTGATGACCCTCTGGCCTCCACTTCCGACTACTTGCTGGATTGATGAGTCAACAGAATTTCCTTCAACAATTTCCTCTGAATTGGCTAGAGATGACAAAAGTACATTTAAATTTTCAGCTTTAAAACAAAACATGAGTATAGTAATTTTAGCCTCCTTGAAACTGACAATTTTCAGAGACACAGGAAAACTTGAAAAAATGGCTGGATTCAACAATTCACAAAAGCAAGCTCTTGTGAACAATGCTAACTCAGAGGAGAAAAGAAAACAGGAACTGCTTTAGAACAGTGTTTTCTAAAATGTCCTTAGTGAAAAAGGAAGACATGGAGAGGTGCACATGAGGTATAGAAAATAAATTTTTACATACACAATCTGACATTATCAGTAATAACAAATACTAATCTATGGGTGGATACACAGGTAGACAGGCAAAATGATGAGATATGAGTAGGCAAAGGGAATATACCCATAACCATATATAAACCTGGCATATATCAACATACATATTTTTATGTGCTATAAAAATGTCCAGGAGCTCTGGTAGCATAGTGGCTAAAGCACTTGACTGCTAACCAGAAGGCTGGCGGTTCAAACCCACCAGCCACTCCTCGGAAGGAAGGTTGGGCAATCCTACTTCCGTAGTGATACTGCCTCGGAAACCCAAGGAGGGGTTGCTATGAGTCGGGGCTGACTCGACGGCACATAACAACAACAACAACAACAACATAAAAATGTCCATAGATATAACAGAGCTAACAGTAATGTAATAGAGCCACAGCCAAACACCTTGAGGGAGGGAGTTGCTGTGCCTGTGGGCCTTGGACCATGGTCGCAGGGGACATCAAGCTCAATTAGCATAACATACTACACAAAAACACTGTTCTATATCTTACTTTGGTTGAGTAGCGACCAGGGTCTTAAAAGTTTATGAGTGGCCATCTAAGATGCAACAATTGGTCTTTTCTTGTCTGGAGCAAAGAAGAGTGAAGAAAATCAAAGATGCATAGAAATAATTAGTCCAAGGGACTACTGGACCATGGGAACCTCAGCCTCTATGACCCTGCGACCAGAAGAACAAGATGGTGCCCAGCTACCACCGCTGACCACTCAGAAAGGAATCCAAATTGGAGATCATACATAGAGAGAGAGAAAACCATGGAACAAAACCCAAAATCATTAAATAAGACCAGACTTACTTATCTGATAGAGACTGGTGAAAGTGCTGAGACTATGGTCTCTAGTCACCTTTCCAGCCTAGAACTGAACCCACTTCCATGGCTTAACTTCTAGCCAAACAACAGACAGGCCTATGAAGTGAACAATTACACCAGGGAGGTGCACTCCTTAGAACAATCAACCATGAGAGATCAGAAGGGCAGTATTTGCACAAGGAGATAGCTCAGAGGGCAGGAATGCATAGGAAAGAAGGACACAGGGAAAAGGTAACCCCAGGAAGAAGTGGAAAGAGAACTATTACATTGTGGGGACTGCAATCAATGTTATAAAACAAAATGTATATAAGCTATTTGAATGGAAAATGGAACTCGCTCTGTAAGCTTTCACTCAAATCACAATAAAAAAAGGAAATATCCTTAGTAAGACGTTAATAGCTTACACTAAAAATATATTCTATGTACAAATGAGTTTTCAAATGCTGTTAAGTATGCTTAAACTTGTTTGTTTTGTGCTCTCGCAGATTCCTGTGGTGGTAGGACTTAAGAATTAACCTAAAAATCACCTGGCTAGCCAGGGACTGCATGGACTGTGCACGGAGGCTGGGGAACAAACGGAGAAGGTGAAGAGAAAGGTGGGCTGAGCTGTGGACTTTTGCCGGTCCGGAGGGCGCCGCCATTTTGAAGGTTTAAAAAGC